CCCACAACAAAACAACCCAGGTGAGTGTTTGGTTTAGTTTTAGTAAGAGTTTTACGGCAATATCCAATAAAAAAGACCGAGATATTTGATCAAAATTTATTCAGAGATTTTAGAATGTGACCTTTTTTTCGGTACAGGTTACGGCTTGACTGAGACTTCTCCGGCCACCAACTTCGACACCGTGGGCATCACAGGGTCAGTTGGTCCGCTCCTACCCAACACTCTGGCTAAGGTATGCAGCACTTTATAGAAAGTGAGAGTTTTACGGCTCTTGCAACAACATAATTAGGTTATAATAAAAGTGCTGAAGATCAGGGATGTGACTGCCAGAGAGTAACATATAAAGAAAAGAAGGGGGGAGGGGGTAAGGATCTGAAATGTTTGACAGGATATTGTGTTTATGCAGCACAGTCCATTAGTACTCAAGGAAGGTTGCCATTATAGGTGATGTTAAAACATACTGAATTAAGCAACACACACAAATTGAATATCATTGATAATGATTATCATTATTCTGTGAACTTCACATCATGTGCACTTTTTGCCAGAGCATGATAACTTTGTTGTTTATCAGAAAATATTTTGTTTGCATCGATATAATTTTAGCACTTTGTTATAATTCATTAGGGTTCTCTAGCAAAATTCCCAACAATGAAATTGATACATGTACCCGGCCCGCTTGACTTACGTTTGGAATCTTTCGCCATGAAAAAATTTTAATACATGTAAATGTTTATTTTTTATTGACAACCTGGTGTAGATCTCTGTCTGTCTGTCTGTGTGTGTGTGTGTGTGTGTGTGTGTGTGTGTGTGTGTGTGTGTGAGTTTGTATGTACGTGTATGTGGATGCCTGTACATACATACATGCGTATGTGTCTGAGTGCAGTAAAGCACACGGACAAACTATATTATACCCGGTGGGGGTGGAGGTGGGGGTGGGAGAGAGGGGTTAGGGGATTGGGTGGGGGCAATTATCATCGTCTATGGTGTAGTGGTTACACGTTTCACCATCTAGTGCAGACAACCTGAGTTCGATACCCGTGTGGGGAGAATTTTTCTTGGTTACGTTCTTCTTTCTGTTGGGAAATTGTATCCTTCTCAGCCCAGGTTGGCCCTGACTGGCAGGATTGAAGCCTGCCTTCTAAATGATCTAAATTAAGAGGATGGGGATGTAAAATACTTACGCATTTAAGAAAGAAAAGACGAAAAAGCAAGTAAGGATGACAGACGGAAGAAACATCAGGAAAGTAATGAAGCATAACCTACCAGTGGTGCCCTGCACCCATCCACAAGAGAATGTTTATAGGTTTGAGGGAGTGTGTGTGTGAACAAAAAAGTAGCGAAACATCGACATAAAGAGAAATGGATTTCAAGACACTATAAAAAGAGAGCAAAGTAGGTCTATATCTTCCAACATTAATATTATAATCGAATTTTGCGCGGACATGTTTTGGAAAAACCGCAAGAGCCTTGTCAAAGTGGTGAGTACACTTACTCACACACACAAGCAACCTCACAAACCCAGGCGCGCACACACACACACACACACGAACACACACACATACATACACCCCCCCCACACACACACATACATTCATACATACACACACACTCACTCACGCACGCACAATAATATATTCATTACTTACTTTACTTTTACTTTTACTTTTTCTTTCCTCTGGTATCCTAAGGATGTCGAGGGGAGGTGCAAGTTTCGGTCCTGAGCT